AATGGTATAGGGTTACCTGCCTGAGCAGGGGGTTGGACAAAATGACCTCCAAGATCCCTTCCATCATCATCATCATCATCATCATCATCATCATCATCATCATCATCATCATCATCATCATCATCATCATCATCATCATCATTATTTCACCCAATTGCTAGCTTTGCAACTGCTAAGAGCTTGACTCACCTTCCATTTTCATATAACTCTTAGAAAACTTATTTGCCAGCACACATAGATGGGATTAGCAAAAAAAATAGCATATTTATTTCTATATTATAAGATATAAGCCTACTCAGAATAGGCTCTACCAGTAGGCAAAATGAGCCAGTTGCAATAGAAGCATACAGGAGTCAGGTGATAAAATTGTATAGAAGGAGAGAGCTGTAGTTGATGACTGTGCTGTCTACAAATATATTTTCCAATCCTCTATATGACTGAGAAGACGTATCTTTTGTGAGTCTTGTATAAATATTCAGCTGGATCTGAACAAGGCATGGGTAGATTGTTACCTTTTTACCCTAGAGAGCAAAAAGGTTTTCAACTAACCATATAATACTGGTATTTTAAAATCAGTGTTCTATTTGATTGAACCCCATTCCCTTTTATATCATAATGGGGGAAGAATAACATTTTTATAAACATTTTTATAAAGTAGAGATCTATCAGATAGACAGACAAGCCGCCTTATTGGTAATACTAAAAACATTTAGTATAACGTGCCTCTAAAAACACATTTCATTTTTTTAAAAGTATGCACATAGACTAAGCAAAGGAGCATGAACTTTACTACTGGAAATTAAAAGCTTCATCCCAGTAGTACTTATGTCAACAGTTCATTATGGTACAATGTACTTGATATGTTGCTCTATAAATAATACAAATAACAGTTCTTATATAATAGTCAGTTCTATTTGCCCATGGAAAGACTTTTAATTGCAAAAATCTCTTTAAGTCCCTCCTTCAGTAGCAGAAATTTGTTAGGGGAGGAAATATTATTGAACTAAAAACTATTTGTTTCTTCCTTTTGAGGATACTCTTGAGAGCACAGCTGAGATTTTTTTTCCTTTTTTAGCCTGGGATAGTATTGGTGGGAACAATATACTTTTGGTAACTTAATTCATCACTACTGTGTGAGTTTGGTTTTTACCAACATGCAAACTGGACCAAAGAAAAAGAAAGAACACAATACAGGTAGTCCTCGACTTACGACCACAATTGAGCCCAACATTTCTGTTGTTAAGTGAAATATTTCTTAAGTGAGTTTTGTCCCATTTTACAACATTTCTTGTCACAGTTATTAAGTGAATCACTGCAGCTGATAAGTTAGTAACCTGGTTGTTAAGTGAATCTGGCTTCCCCATTGACTTTGCTTGTCAGAGGATTGCAAAAGGTGATCACATGATCTAGGAACACTGCAGTGGTCATAAGTATGAACCAGTTGCCAAGCTTCTGAATTTTGATCATATGATCATGGGGATGCTGCAAAGGTTGTAACTGAAAAATGGTCATAAATTATTTTTTTCAGTGCTGTGGTAACTTTGAACGGTCACTAAATGAACTGTTGTAAGTCAAGGGTTACCTGTAGTGTTTCACTATAGCAAGATTTTTGGTTTCTTACTGTGTTTTCCTAGGAGAATGGAGCACTTGGGCAAAAAGTATCAATTGCATGCAAAAAAAAAAGATACCCTTCTCTTTCTCATACCAGTGGTTCAGAAACAGGCTCATGAATTTGCAGATTCACATCCATATGTAATCTTAATCTTATTTAAGAATTGGCATTCTTTATTAGAAATGTTTTAAAATTTTATAATACAAACTTGGTTAAACTCATTTGACAGAGGGAGGCATAGAATGCTTTCACATCTCCATATAAAGTAAAGGTTACTTTCAAAGTCAAGATCCATCCAGTGCAGCTTGTGTTTTAGTAATGAGTCTCCCTTAACTTCAAAGTTATTCACTTTGTTATATATTTATTTTTATATCTGTCTGTCTAATCTCTTTACCTTTTTTCTGAAGAACCCTGATGAGGTCTTTATCAAGGAGTCTGCTGTTAAGAGTTTATTTTGATAACTGATAATTAATCAAGATGAATCCCTGTTCATTTCAGTCTTGATTTGCATCCAGTTATATAAAGGAGACAGCTTTAGTTACCTTGATGGATCTGTGCTGGGAACTAGACAAGGAGAATGTAATTCTGTTAGTTTGGCTGGATTTCTTAGTGCTTAATCATAGTATTCTGCTAGTTCATCCTTCTGAAAAGAAACTGAATAATATTGTACTGCATTTCCCCAAAGGCAGTTTCAGAAGGCAATGTTGAATAGATTCTACTTGACACACTGACCACTACTATATAGTATCCCACAAGGTTCTTCCATGTAACAGAATATCAGTATGAAACTATTGGGAAAGTGTGTGTGCTTTGTTTTCAGTATTTTCCCATTAAAAATTGGGGTAAAATCAGCATTGGTTTAAAATTCCTGGATACTCTAGTTTATGTATAAGGCCACTTCCACTAACTTGATGTTTTCGAAATGTGTTTGGGTTTCAATTCCTGTCATCCCCAGCCACAATGACCTTTGATATCCTCCTAGAGAGTGGCAAGCTAGAAAATGTGATCTGAGATAATCTTGCTCATGAAACCCAGTTAGTAGGTATGGTTTTTTTTTCAACATTTGTATTTGTTTTATTTACAAGCCACACTCATTTGGCATTTAACTAAAAAATACCTGAATAAGCACTGAACAAGCAGTGGTGTGTCTGATAAGTTAAATTAAACTTTACAACTCAGTTGCATGTAAACTTAGCAATAATGTCTATAAATAAATATGGTCTCTGAAGACCTGTCTAATCTTACTTTTGAAGCATTCAATCTTCGAACTTGATCAGATTGTAGTTTAATAATCTCATACCATTGTTCCATAACGTGTCATTTTTCAAATAAAAAAATAAGCTGTTTTACTGCAAAGGATTAAGGTTTTTTGTTTATCTTGCACAGTATAAAATTAACTTACACCTCACTGCTTCTATTCATTTATTTTATTTTATTTGCTTTGTAATTACAGCAAGACAGCTTACAGTCAGATACCTTTGTAGCTAATAAAATGGTAAAATACCTTTTAAAGATAAAGTTATCATTGGATAAATTCATCTTATCCTTATTTAAACCCACTGAAGTTTCAGTGGAGAAGTAGACTACTAAAACATTAGAGAATATATTCTATAAAAGACAGAAAGAAGAAAAATAGAAACATTATAGCACCTACATAGAAGTTGCTCCAACCACTTCAAGTGATTGATAAACATTTGGTATTTGCACTATTGTTTGTTATCATTTGAAATTATTCACTGGACAAAATTTGCTTTTGCTTATTTAAGGCTGACTCTTTTGATTTCCAAGTTAGAAATGTTTGAAAAAGCTTACTTTCTTCTAAGCTACCAGCATTATGCTCTTTTGTGGATACAGGTTTAAAGGCTGGTATTTGTCATCAGTATACAGGAACCAAATAAAGGGGAAAAATAATTCTCTAGGTGTTTCTGTTGAGACAGACATGCAGTTGTATGCAAAATTAGGCATCCCTCCTCAAACTGCATGTTTTGGTACATCCCATAGATTCTCAGTAATATTCAAGCCTGGGTATATGAAAGCCATTTCAAAACCTTTATTTTTCTTTCCTGTTAGTACGTTGCTTTAAAAGTATGTTTCAGACAATTGTCTTATGAAATAGCCAACCTGTTTTCAGCTTCAGATTTCTTAAATCAGACCTTAGCTAGAACTGTCCCACAGTGGTTAGATTTGCAAAACAAACCCCCAAGAAAACAAACAGAACCTCACTGGAAATACTCAAAAGTTTATAATAATAATCTGGGAGAGTTGTCAGAAGGAATTTTTTTTCTGATCTCATCACAAAAGTCATAATCTGTAATATGCAAATGAAAACTGATAAACTTGAAACATTTTGGACTAGGTATTTTGGACAGGTGAAACAAAATTTGAACTGTTCGATCACAACTAGACAAGAAAAAAAGGTGAAATTTAAAAAAAGAGCACCTTGCTAATTTTAACCATGGGGATGGTTCTATTATATTTTAGAGTTGCATGGCAGCCAGTGGCAGAGAATATACTGTGTGAGGGAAAGAATGTTAGTTTATCCTTGAAATTAATATCATAATCCAGTGAAGAAATTAAACTTGAAAACTATTTCAACCTTAAAATAGCAAGAGAGAAAAAAATGTTTTGGAATGGCCTTCATAGTCTCAGATTTGAATGTCACTGAGACCTCGAATATGCAGCGGGTACAAGGAGACCTAAGAATATTTCTGAGCTAGAAGAATTCTGCAAGGAAGAAGGGGGGAAACAATGATAAGCAAGAATAGAAAAATTCTTATTGTGTTACAGGAAATGCTTGGAGGTTTTACAAAGTACTGAAAGGTTATTCAGAATTTGATATCTGCCGTATTCACTATTTTATTTAAATTCTGTAAAGAACTGTACTTCTATAAAGAAAGTATACATTCAAACTTACAGAAATCTGTAGAAACTGTGTTAGTATTTGTTTTCTTGGGGTTTCCTTAAAATACACAATTTGATAAAAGTGTGCTACATTTTTGCATACAACTGCACTCTCCCTGTTAACAGAATATTTGGATGTTCCTTTAAGCAGATTTCAGGAAGCTTTTAGCTCATAAAATTCTGACTGCAAAGTGTTTTTAAAAACCCCAATTTTCTGATGAAATTAGTTTGATGTGAGTGTTTGTGTGTGCACACTATGGGATTACAATTGTGATAAGTAGATTCCATTTTTTCCAAAGGCAGTTCTATCTTAAAATACTGTGAAGTAGGATATAGTTTGAGAGTACTCCAGATTCTCTATTTAACACTTTTATCTCTCTATTAGAGTATAGCAAAGGAACCTGTTTCTTTTCACAGTGAATACATTCATTTCCCCCCCCATCCCTTTATTTATTGCTAAGATCTTCCTGATTGTTTCTTATTCAAGGGACCTGAAACTGGACAATATTCTTTTGGATGCAGAAGGTCATTGCAAACTGGCTGACTTTGGAATGTGCAAGGAAGGAATCTTGAATGGAGTAACGACTACTACCTTTTGTGGAACACCAGACTACATAGCTCCAGAGGTATAATAGTATACATTGAAGTATATAGAACTCTATTTTTATGATGCTAGTTTACTTATCCCTCCATGAAAAACTGAAACCAAATTCTTTCTATGTAATCCTATTTAGAATTGAGTATGCTGATGACTGTAGTACATCACAATAGAAAATAGGATAGATTTGTGCTTGTCATACAAATTTTCCAGTACCATTCAGAAAACAATCCCATGTTGTGAAACACATAAAACACAGGAAAAACTCTGTTGGAGCAGAATGAAGGCCTATCTTTTCTAGTATTTTTTTTTCATATTGCAGCCAACAACCATAACATTTACAAACATGATAGGAATTTAATAGTAGATTCCTGCCTCTGAAGACAGGAGTAACCCATAAGGATCAGTGACTTTTCAGTCTTTTTTCCACATCAGTATGCTAGCTTCCTTTGGAGTAGAATTAGCTGATGTCCATCATCAGATTTAATCATATCATTTGATATGAAATTCTATAAGTTAACAGTTTTCTAAGTGAATCTTGTGTCATACTGAAACTTTTTCAAAGAATGTACAGGTTTTAATTTAAGATCCAGATATGTTTCTTTGAAACTGGCTTTTTTAAAAAATAATTTCATAGAATCATGGAAAAACAGAGTTGGAAGGTACCTTCAAGGTGTTTTAGCCCAACCCCCTGGTTGAGCAGGGCCCTATACCATTCCAGAAAAATGGTTGTTCAATCTTTTCTTGAAAACCTCCAGTGATAGAACACTCACAACTTCTGGAAGCAAGCGGTTCCACTGATTAGTTGTTCTGATTGTCAGGAAACTTCTCCTTAATTCTAGATTAGATCTCTCTTTAATAATCTTCCACCTGTTACTTCTTAACCTTCCCTCAGATGCTTTGGAGAATAGATTGGCCCCCTGTTCTCTATGATAGCCCCTCAAGTATTGGAAAGCTACTATCATGTCACCCCTGGTCCTTCTCTTCACTAGACTAGGCATATCTAGTTACCGCAACCATTCTTCATATGGTTTAGCCTCCAGACCCCTAATCATCTTTGTTGCTCTTTTCTGCATTCTTTCTGCTTCAAATAGCAGGCAATATAAATTGTTCATATTGTGCATTTTTATCCATTCATTTCTCTCTTTCTTTTTCATGATTTCCCCTAACAGATCCTCCAGGAATTAGAATATGGTCCTTCCGTAGACTGGTGGGCACTGGGGGTACTCATGTATGAAATGATGGCCGGACAGCCTCCCTTTGAAGCTGATAATGAAGATGACCTCTTTGAGTCTATCCTCCACGATGATGTGCTATATCCAGTATGGCTTAGCAAAGAAGCTGTCAGCATTTTGAAAGCTGTAAGATTATCTATTTTTCTTTTTAAATTTGAGTTTTCCTAGAACACTTGAGAAACAGCCACCTCTGGGAGTTCAGCTACAGTTCAGAGTGCCATTGTCAGTATACAGGGGTCTGGGATGAATTAAACTTCTTGTGGGAAAGAGACAAAATGTTTGTGTTCTTTGCATCTGTATATCTGTATACATGCCTGTACTTGAGAATCATGTTTCAGGAAGAACCAAAAACACAAGCAAACTGAAATGCCTTGTCAAGCTGAATACTTCAGATTGTATGGTTGGCTAAACTGAAGACAGAATTATGCAACTGAGAATGCAAGTCCCACACAGATGGGCCCCAATCCAAAAGATACTTAACAAAATAATATCCTGATCCGTCACCATGCTGACTTTAAAGTCAACTGATTTCACTGGGAGATAATTCTGTGTGTCTGACCACCAGAGCTTCTGGGCAAATGTCAGTTAGAATTTTATTGGTTAGCATTCAAAGATCATTCTTCATCTTGAAGAATGAAAAATAAGGATGAAGTTAGTTTCAATACATTTCAATACATTTCATATCTTTATGGGGTTCTACAAGGGAATTATGTTTAATGGATCAGTTCCTAACCAAAAGTTAATTCCCAGTTAATTCCCTGAAATAGGTAACACTGTACTTTGCTGAAAACAAAATATTGTAACAGCCATATATACACATTTAATTGTCCTCATGTTGTTCCTTACATTACCAAAACAACTGAGTATGCACAAGGGGGGAAGATTAGCAAGCTAGTGAGAACTGTTTGGGAAAAATAAATTATTAGGGGCAATTCTCCCCAAAGCAGCTAAAAAGGGCTGTATGTGGAATGGGAAGTCAGACTGGGGATAAGAATGTAGCCAAATCAATTTCCTGAGGGTTTGGACTTTCAATATTTATACCCTGATAGTCCATGTCCAGTTATGTTTTATTATTTTGTTTTAAAAAATAATAAACAGTTTAAAAAAGTGTTGCCAGTTGAACTGGAAAATCTAAAACCGTGCTGCAAACCTGATGTTTCTACCTGAACATAAAGCTAGTAAAGTTCCTATTTAAAACTCAGCAAAAGTCAATCAATCCAAGCATTGTTATAGAGGTATTTCATGCAAACTAGCTGGTCTCCCTAGTAAATTCCAGGAAAACTATGCCCATGGTATAAAGTATAATTAGCCTAGGGAATCTTGGAGGAACTTATTGGGAGGTAGGGATATGTGGAATAGAATTTGAAATAGCCTTAGTTTCCTTAATTGCAAGATAGGTGAGATCAGCCCTCATGGTTGCTTAAATTTTGAAATGAGCCCTTCTCAATGAATTTTACTGACACATTGAGGAGAAAGGGATGAGCATGCTGGTTTCACCCTCCTCGTGCTGTCTTCCACATGCAGATAGTGAATTCCTAGAAAATTGAACTTTTGCTAACTATAGAAGGAGATTCTTGGATTCTTGGAATCAATAGCATGGAGATCTGTTGATAGAGGAAAGTCTCCTGTGTAGACATTTATGGAAGCGATAAAAAGGCTCATCCATACAGTCATTTAAACACATATAGATTGTTACTGGATTTCTTACTCTGAAGAGAAATAATGTGAGGGCTTTTCCACCCACCATGCAAATAGCATCTTACAACAACTTTTCTAGGCTGAGTTTTAGGCTTAGATTAACGTTTGAAACTTGGGTTGTTAATCTTGTTCTTTAGCAATATGAATTAACCGAAGAGCAGGAAAAGCAGAGGAAATGGAGGGGCGTCTATGTACTTGACTGCTGAATATTAACAAGGGATTAGCTTTGGAACGCTTTGTTTCCTTACATTGTACTGTTAGATGAGGGCTTTGTTCTTCAGGCACTTTAAACTGGAATTCTGTTAAGATTTTTAAAAGTACTTGGAGTAGCTTTGGCAGAATGATCTTTGGTTTCTACTCAATTTTATTTATTTTATTGCACTATTATGGTTCAATTTATTTACAGTTTCCAAACAAAAAATATCCAGACTCTGAAACTGAAGATGTTTTGAAACTTGGAGAGGGTGGCAGAAACAACAATGGGAAACCTGGGGTTTAATTTCTCTGAACTGATCTTCAGTACTGGGACGATGGATTAATTTCTGAGGTTTTGTGAAAGCTACAGATCTGAATTTTTAGAATGTTTACACTTTGTGGAATTCAAAAACACTTTTACTTTTTTAAAGCTTAATATTAGTTCCCTTGAAAATAAGACAAAATGAGAAATAAAGGAGCCTTAGTTTGGCAGTGGAAAATATACTTTGCATTCCAAAAAAACGTAGGTTCAGTTGTCTTCTTCTCTGATTAAAGGAAATCTGTATTACAGGCTTTATGAGAGGCCTTGCCAAGTAACATGCATAAGCTGCCCAATCACCTTTCTTGCAGCATTTAGAGACCACTAAGATTGTACCACTATAATTTGCTGGCAAACAACCAAACATTAGTGTAATTTCCCATCAATTATTGGCAGGAAGTTTTTTTAAAAAAAAATTTAAGAGTATTAAAGCCTAGATTGCTTTAACTCATCTAGAAAGTGGGAGGGGAACAAAAACCCTTCCAGAAGTGGAAAGAAAGACTGGAAATTTTATCCAGCTTCTCTCTTCTTTAAAAAAAAAAGTTCAGTCCTCCCCTCCCAAAAATTGTCCACATCAGTTCATATATTTCTGATGTATATAATGAATTGGTAATCATTGTAATAAGGAAAAATGTTTTGAGAGTTTTGCTCTTATCACTGAATACTTTAAATAAGGAACTGACCTTCCCAAGCTTTATGAAACTCTTTAAAGCATCCTATTCTAGATCCCTCAACAATATGTTCTATATTGATTTGTAGTTGCTTTCCAGATTTTTCCAATCTTGTCTGGAATAGAATGTGTTGATTGACGGGAAATTTTCAGAAGGGTAGGGCACTCTTTGAACACGATTCTGCAAAGCACAGTATCTCTTCCTTATTCATTCAAGCAACTCGACTTTTCTCTGGCTTGAGTAAAGCCTGAACAAAGGGGGCTATTGCTTTAAGGAATCTTAACTTTAGTGCCATTTTTAAAGCACCATCATATTTTTTCATGTTCATATAAAAACATGTATCTGATGTAATGAATAGCAGAAGGGTGCTGCTGTTGTGCAGGGGCAGGTGTTTAGATATAGCATATTTTTCTTGAAGATATTTTTAATGTAAATAATTTTTTGCCAGATCACATGGAAGCAGACAGGGATTGCAGTTACCTCTTTAATATGCAGTATAGTTAGTGAATGGATCCGTTTGACATTTGTTTAATGTTTAAAAGGCACAATACACTAAGATAGAACAAGATTCTTTGCATAGGTATTTCTTCCAATCTCCAGCACTTCCTTATATTCCCATGTCACAGGTGAAATTTGCTTTATCTCTGTCCCTACAAGAAGTGCTAGATGTAAGCATAGTCTGTTCTATCAGCCATATCACATGTTAAAAAAATAATCATTTCAGTGTCCTGGCCGTTCCATGATTGTTTATTTCTTTGTTTCAAGGGGATGAGGAATGTTAGCCAAGCTTCTAGTTAGGGTTCATTCGTCTAAGGAGTCTGCTGTTCAATCCTGCTTCTCTTCTATTGATGTTACTAACATAGCAGCTTTTTAGTTTCAAAACCTGTTTAGGTCAAACACATTTTGTGCTGATTAAAATGTATTTGTGTTAATTGAAAAATTGCCTGGTTTTTTTCCTTTACAACACCTGTTGATGGGGTTTTTTTGTTCTGCTGTGGTTTTTGTTTTTGAGTCTTCATACCCATCTTCTTGAACCATCAATTTCATCTATACCATTTGTTACACCCAGATATACTCTGCCCCAGTTTTTGATGTCATGGTTTTGTGAGTAGCTCAGCTTGGATTTCACCATCTCAATTAAAAGAAAATACAAGCGATTGCTTGTTTTATTCGGATGGTCCTGTTCTTCCTTTGTTTATGCTATAGATCTGTCAATTGTTTGCATTCTCAGTGATCAATTGAGTAGTAAAATGGTGACATTCAGCTTTGAGATATTTAGTGAATCTGTCAATTCTCCCCTTCAAAAGTTGCACAGTGTTTGGATCATAGTCTGGACTATTATATTAGCCATATGCACTCTTTTTTCTCACTCCTTTGTACATTAAAATTTTATCCCTTGTATATAAATATGAATACAATAAAAAGCATAGCGAAACATAACATGGATTTAAGTACATAGTAATCTGATTTAAGATTTGTTGTAGCTATTACTATATAATGTTTTGAAATGGTCTAGCACTAGCTCAATAAAGACTACTGCAGTTACCATAGAATAATAATAGAAAGATCAAAACCATACTGAGTTAGGAAAGGCAGCAGAAAGACTAATGCAAATAGAATATTTTGTAAGATATCTCTGCTTTTCCTAGAGTTTGTCTTGCTGTATTTTGCCACCTTATATAATTTTTCCACTATGTAACTGAAGTTTTTTTTTCCCCCATGCAGTTCATGACAAAAAACCCAAACAAACGTCTGGGCTGTGTGGCATCTCAGAACGGTGAAGATGCCATTAAACAGCATCCATTCTTCAAAGAAATTGACTGGGTTCTTCTAGAACAAAGGAAAATTAAGCCACCTTTCAAACCTCGGATTGTAAGTATTGATCTGAGTTGTTCAAGAGAACTTGGATAACATAAAAACTGGTTGAATACCTTTATGATAGTAAGGTTGCAGAAGTGCAATAGAACTGATAACATGGTCAACTTTTTGCCATACCAAAGAAAGTGAATTAATTATTTTCCTTAGAACTATGTGTCGTACTTGTTAATGAAACACTGAATGTGGAAATGATCAAGAGCTTATGCTGTTTTTGAGAGTAAATCACAGAAAATATTGCCATTATCATTTGATAACCTTTATATCTAAAATCATTAATTTTGTGTTATGGAATGATAAGTTACCATGTTTGTCTTACTACCACTTATTGTCACTGAAAACACAGCTAAGATAATCATGTGTCACATATTAATCTAAATATGTGAAGGCACCCTCAGTATCCAAAATTCATATTGGAATATGTATTTGTTCATGTAATATATCAATACCTGCATCAACTGGGAATCATATTTATGACTGTCATACATTGTTTTGCTTAGATGCTAGATGCTGCACTCTTGTTTCAGATTGAATGAGATTGTTAAGTAATACAACTAGTAACTCTGAATTCTTATTGTTGTATGTTGTTTATTATTATTGTTATATATTGGGTTTTTTATTTTTTGTAAGCCACCCAAAGTCACTGTTAGTGAGCAGGCAGACATATAAATTTTCTATACATTCTAATTCTATGAAAACTCAAGAAATTCAGTTTGGTGTAGTGATTAAGGCACTGGCCTAGAAACCAGGAGAGTGTGAGTTCCAGTCCTACCTTAGGCATGAAAGCAGACTGGGTGATTTTAGGCCAGTCATTCTCTCTCAGCCCAACTCACCTCATAGAATTTATTGTTTTGGGGATAACAGGAGGTGGAGGAAGTATTAGTATGTTCAACGCCTTAAGTTATTTATAAAGCAATAAATGTGGATTATTATTTCTTTCAAATCCCCTTGCTGTTTTTTCCTTAGTCATGATTCACTGGGGATTTGGCAGGTGCTGTAGTGAAATCCAATTTATGGTCTCTTTTCGTATTCAAGATCCTAATATTATTAATATATAGTACTGACAAAATGTATTTTATTTATTCAAAAGAATATATTTCCCAGTAATAAAGTTCATCAACAAATGTCCAATATCATTTTCCTAAAAAAGATCCCCATTTATTCTGTGTCTATGTATGATTATCAGATAAGAAATTACTTTCGTGGCTGAGTGAACCATTCAGAATATTTCTCATAAAGTGCTCTTTTTCATAGTACTTAATGTCAATCCATGCACATCTGAAAGAATTTTCTCTGACAGATAAAACGCCGTGAAATCTTGAATGATGGGAGATTAGAACATGCATATTCAAGTGGGGCCTCATTTCTGTTCCCTTGACACAATTTGAATTATTCTCACTCAGTTCTAGCTCTCTATTGTATGTTATTTATATGTGTTTTGAATATTGATTGTGGGTAGGGAATTATTGGGTTTTGTATTGGGGTTTTATTTTAAGCCATCCAGAATCACCAAAAGTGAGTTGAGTGGCCATATAAAATTTCTGAATAAATGAATGAATTGAGGCTATTTAATTCCAAGGCAATCTATTCATACCATTTAAATGTGGGAGTTTTTTAAACTTTCTTTTTTCTCTAGTGTTCACTAAAAGACTGAAAAAAATTGAACATAGAGTAAAACACTTGCATTTCCTTGTATTGTTACCCTCTTTTCCTCTGAGGATGAAGTATGCTACTTGCTGGCTTTTATGTGTGCATTATTTTATTATTTCTCCTTCATATTTTATCATTCTTAGCCAAATTAATAGTCAAATATAGCACTGATTCCAGACTTGCAAGAAAAGAGGGAAGAAGTGGTTAACACAGATATGTGTTGTTCTGTTTATACTTTTGTTGCTTCTACGGCTAATCGCTGAAATAGTGTAGACATTTTGTAGGCAATTAATTGCTTCCACTAAGTTTTTACTCTCAGCGTATACCACCAGTATATAGCTAGGTGGAGCTTTCAATGATCATCTCATTGACTTAGAGATACTCTTCTAAGCTAAAGTCTACATACTTATGATGTCAAGGAGAATAATGAAGGGAAAGGGAGGCCAATGATATGTGCTCAGTGTTAAGGCTGAAATATAGGAGGGTGAATACAGGTGAATCGGCATTCATTACTGGACTATTGGATTGCAAAATAAATTTTTAAAAACCCGTAGTAGATTTCTTTTATGAAGTCAGAGTACCTATTCATAGAGGCTGCTCAGGGATCTATTGCTCTAATTGCTGTCTTCTAATCAACTATTGCTGTTTGAGGTAATTGGGTTATGTTAGATTATCATGTTCACTTTGTTATGGTGTAAAATCACAGAAGAATATTGCCAAGTCCACAAAGAAATTTGCCTTTCTGCTACCAGGTTCAACATCCCAAGTTAATCTCCTGCCTGGAAATATAGCCATAGAATTATTTTTTACACTGTAAATAAAGACAACTCTACAGAATTTGATTAAGGATGGCCAGTTCACTTTAATTTTGTGTACAACACTTCTAAATATGATTATTCCTAACCCCATTCCATTATTGCTTTTTTCATCAAACCTCATCAAACCCCAAAATTTTATGTATATCTTTGGATAACTCGGTTAATCCCCCAAAAAGTGGACCCTGCAGTTGTGGGGAAATGCTAGGAAGAATATACAGGTAGTCCTCAACTCTTGACCGCAATTGAGACCAGAATTTCCATCATAAGTCATTGCAATTGCAAATTGAGTCAGACATGATTTTAGGACAATTTTTATGATGGTCATTAAGCAAATCATCATAGCTGTTAAGCAAATCACATGGTCATTAAACAAATCCAGCTTTGCCAATGGGTGTTTTTTTGCCGTTGCAATGATCGTAAGTGCGAGTACAGATTGTAAGTCACATTTTCTAAGGCCATCATAACTTTCAATAAATGAATAGTCATAAGTTAAAGACTACCGATATATGTGTGTATATGTGTTTGTGTGCCTGCGCGCGCACACACACACACACACACACACACACATACACACACACATTCAGTGACAGTTTGAAGTTACAGCAGCATTGAATGAAGGAACCTACGACTGATCCCTGAAGTTACAGTCCTGGAGCAACCACCTCTTCAGAGAACAGGGAGAAAAGCTCTTAAAATTGTTTGCTTAAATGCAAGAGAGAAGGACAAGACATGCCCAAGAGAGCTGTTTGGGTTTGACAGAAAACTCAAGAAGAGAACTCCACCGAACTCTTTGAAATGCAGATCATTTGAAATTTGAAATAAGACCTGAGGAGAACACTTCTCAATCAGACTTACTGTAAACTAATGAATGTTATTTTAAGAACATGACATCACGTATTGGTAACTGTGAATATCAAATATTCAGAGCAATCATATCTGTACCATTTGAAATGGAAAAGCAAGTTTTACTAGAATTTACTTCCAAATAATCCTGCATAGAATTGCAGCCATAAAACCATGGCTTGACTTGAGCATAATCCTATAAATTTCTGATCAGAAGGAAGCTTTTTTCAGCAAAATGTTGTGACCCACTATCATAGTGCAGTGTTTATAGAGAATGGCATCTTCAGTTTTGCAGATGTAGAAGTTCAATGTAAAACTTCCCCAAATTACCTCAGATGCTGCCAGAAGAGAACACAACTTGCAGCAAAAAGGCTTCAGCCCTCCAGTGGTTTTGGACTACAATTCTCATATTTTCCAGCCAGCATCTCTTACTCCCTGTAAGGATATCCTCTTAGGGTTTGAGTGTTGAATATGTCTGCAGTTGTTCTTCCTAAGTTGCTTCTTCACCCTACTCCACTACAACTGACATCACTTCTCTCATGCTGGCTTGAAATGGTGGACAGGCAGGGAGATTAACCTGCATTGTGTGCATGAATTATTATTTCCTCATTCTGCAAGTGATCTTGTATAAAAATCTAAATCCTTCTTGCTATGTCAGAATAAAAGTTTCCCTTCTTTTTTCTTACTTATTTTAAAAGAGAAAATTTTTAAATACAATTTTTCACAGTACCCTCTAAGATTTCCCCTTTTTTTCAGATTATTGAGGAAAAGTGGTCAGGGATTTTCTTTTCTTCTAAATAGGAGACTTTGTATTTCAGGTATTCCAAATGTGCTACTGTAAACATCTGACTTGGGTGGTTTACACCAAGAATTTGTGGTGTATTGATTGAATTCTCATCACAAATAATCCAGTTCAGGATTTGTACTAATTTAGGCTTTCATGCAATTATTTTTATGTGATTCATAAGAATCTTGAAGGTTGTGATTATAAAGTACCTGGAAAAAGGCTGTGCTAAAAGCTTGACAGCCTCTTTCCTCCAGCAATCTATTTTTGCAGTCCTAGTGAGGCAGCAAATTGTAAGAATATTAATTTCTTTGGTAAACCAATGCTTAATTTCTACTTGAGGTTCATGCAGCCTAATAAGACACTCAAGAGTCAGCTTCAATTGGAGCAGCTTATCAACTTTATAAAATAAATCAAATCTAAGATAATATAAATACTACTATCAGAAATTGATACTATGGGGTTACTAAGTGTACTTCTCAAATAATAACACCGGTGATGTGTTAGAGTTTCACTGTAGCATTTATTTCCATTTAAATATATCTATTCCTTTAAAAGAAAAATTGAAGAGCCAGATCATGTTCACACTAAATGCTGTCAACCTGCAAACAAATGCTTTCTTCTGGTGAAAAAAAGACACCACCTTTTTATATGTCTAGAAATATGCAAAATCTCAGGCCAAATAATTGTGAGCATGCTCAGTGGCTACAGAATGCTCCCTGACTGTTGAAGGTAGAAATCCTGGATCGAAGGGAAAGGTTGATCAGAAACCAGATTGGGAGTTTGCCACAATGAAACATTTTGCTTTTGCAACCTAATTGGAGAGATGCATCAGGAATTGGATGTGCCTTACCCTGAGATATGTCAGTTGCAGAAATATCAGTGTTTGTTTGTTTGTTTTC